CACACACACACACACACACACACACACACACACACACACACACACACACACACACACACTCTTTTCTTTGTGTGGGTGTGTGGCCCGTACGGCCGTGTTTTTGTGTGTGTGGGGGGAGGGGTGGTGGGCGGGGGGGGGGGCACGCATGATCGTGTTTGTGTGTGTGTGTGTGTGACACAGTGTCCACCTGCATGGTGCAAGTTCAAATCTAGTGTTTGTTCATGTGTGTGTGTGTGTGTGTGTGTGTGTGTGTGTGTGTGTGTGTGCATGCATGCAGAGCACAGATTTGCTTTGTGCTGTGTGGGGAGAATTTATTTTGTGCTGCTGTGCAGTGCAATTCCTTTGCCTAAACCACCAGTACTTCGCCCAGCTATTGAAGCCGAGCCTGAAAATGGCCTGTGCTCCAAAGAAAAACGAAGTGGTGCGGGCCTCATTTTGGCTGGCGCCGCCAGCCATTTTGGTCCGGTACCCTGGCCCCCGAAAGATGCAACCGTATACGAGCCGCATATTTGTTCAAGCTGGGAGAGGTGCGGTGGGGTGTACAGGCTTGCATGAGGACAAATCCATTCATGATGACTCCAGTGTCAGAGGCCGGTGTAGCTGGGAAAAGTACCAGTGGGTTTAAGTGGCAAAACAGTCGACTGAGTGCCCAGTGGGAAAACAGTCGACTGGTTATGGGGCTGTGGGGCTGTGGGGCTGTGGGGCACGCTTTCTCCTCTGGCGTCTAGGAGATGCAACGCGATTGGAGCTTTTTGTCTGTTAGTACTCTAGCACATAGACAATAGATGAATAATACCTTGAGGGAGAAGAACATAAACAACCGTGTACTACACGTTGTAAATCGAGAAACTAACCTGGTCGGAATGCACATGGAAGGTGCCGATGCTCACTTGCACGATCTGCCGTGGCTCGTGGATGTGCAGTCGGTCCAGTGCATGTGGGCTGGGCTACTTCATATTTTCCCTTTGAAATGCCAACAGCCTAGTTCTGTCCTTCACTCCTTTGAATACAATTACTCGGATAATTAGACTGTGGGGGCCTTGCTCCACTACAGGACACTCTACATGGATTTGGATGCTTGTTGGACTAGGTGCAATGACGGGTCCATCGATTTGAATATATACCGACTCCACTGAGCGTCCAAACAAATGGCATGTGAGTGTCGAAATGCATGCGAGCGTCTGAATGCATGTGGAGTGCTGTGTAGTTGAGCGAGGCCATATATTATACTTGTCAGTGATTGACCCTCAGTGTGCCAGCTTGGCACAGCCAGGATAAACCCGCGTTCGTGCATCACTTCATCGCACCTGTACTGTTCTCTTGTATTTGCACAGGTACCTTACACCCACCGGTTACCCCCTTAACCGCATTAATAAACAGAAAAACTCAATGGGCTCATTATTTTATTTCTCTTTCAGATTGCCAATCAAAGAGCACTTGTCACTTTTGCATGGATTCTTGCGACGGCGGGCTGCCAATCAAAGAGCACTTGTTCATCAGTCAGTGCATGAATCACAGAACCTGCACTTGAAAAAGTAATGTTTTAAAAAGAGGATGCTTCATCAGATGAAATACACTCACAGAGTCACAGAATAATTTGAGATACCACAATTTCAACTATGGAGAATTGTGAGGGTGCTGCCCAGAAAAGCCCCAGTAAAAGCTCAGGGGGCAGGGCAGGTTGGGGAAGTGGCTTCAATTTGTAGTGCTTGTATTGGTCTGTTGTGTGGGTTTAAGCGTTTGACGGCTTGCCGGCCAGTGAAAACCCAGGGGGAAGTCCCCGTAAAACCCCATGCTTGTGTATCTTGTGTGGCATTGAGCTTCATCATGGCTGCTCCTAGGCTTCGTCGCCGCCTATTAAAAGGTCTGCATGCAATGGCAATATTTTTTTGGAGTGTTTATTGAATTGTGCAGGTACTTAAAGAATAAGAAACTGACACAGGGAGAGGGTACATTTGAGCTAGAGCTGTACCCTGCCCACAGCCCCCACCCACCCACCCCCGGGAGGAAAGGGCCTGACCAATGGTTTCCCAAAATGGAGACCAGCCCACTGTTAATCAAGCACCAAATTCTGTTACCTATCGGCAGTCAGTTTTTCGCTTTTCTGTTCGTTTATTAGTTACCCCCCCCCCCAACAACCCCCACCCCACGTTGTCCCCCTTCCTTTTTCACATATGAAGTGAACCCGGCCGCGGCCCAGGGGCAGGCCCACCCCAGGCACGGCCATTATCTGGCCCGGGCAACATTGACAGTGTTTGTTTTAGAACATGAGGGATGCGCAGTGTTCATCCGCCACGGTATCAGCACGCTGTCGGATCCTTTGTAAGTCAGAATTATTTTATTGTGGTTGCCGCTGGATTCGAACTCACGTCTGCAATTCAACAGTTTCATGTGTGCATGAACTGAGCAGCCTGCCAATGTGCAAAATGAGGAGTCTTCCGCAAGAACGTTGGAAGATACACCGCGGCAGACAGATATATTGAAAAGAAATCTGGGTGTGAGTATGGACTAAGGAGCTGTGAGCTGCGAATGTCGCCGCCAGAGAGAGAGAGAGAGAGAGAGAGAGAGAGAGTTGCTAGAACATGGAAATATGCACTGCCACATTTTCGGTCCCTGGCAGTGTATATTTCCATGTTGTGGCAGTGGAGACTTCCATGTTCTAGGGTAAGATTCAATCCCATTTTGCTTATTTGCGAATGTCGGTCTGTGTGTGTGTGTGTAGAATGAGCAAAATCGGAATGAATCTTCACCGAGAACACGGAAATATACACTGACACACTTTTTTTCTTGTTTTTTTTCATGTGTGCATCAACTGAGCAGCCTGCCAATGTGCATAATGAGAACGAATCTTCTGCCAAAACATAGGAACATACACTGTGATGGACAGATACATTGAAAAGAAATCCCGGTGTGAGTATCGACTAAGGAGCTGTCAGATGCAAATGTCATCTCTCTCTCTCTCTCTCTCTCTCTCTCTCTCTCTCTCTCTCGCTCTCTCTCGCTCTCTCTCGCTCTCGCTCTGTGTGTCTGAGAGAGAGAGTTTTCCATCCATATGTCGGTCTGTGTGTGTGTGTGTGTGTGAGACCAAAATCGGAATGAATTTTCAGCCAGAACATGGAAATATACACTGCCACACTTTTTTCCTAGGAAGATTTTCATGACCAGCCGGTCACCCGGGCATGACGCCCGGGGGGGTCTGATGCCCGGGTGACCCGGTCATGGCAAAAAAAATAAAAATAAAAAAAATGGTGGGGGGGTTTTCCGCGCGCTCCGTGAGGAGCCCAAATCCGGGCTCTTTTCTTTTTTTGAGTGTTGGCTGTCAAGGGGGCTAAAGGGGTTTAAAGGGGGGTGCCTTAGTGTGATATGGTAATTT